TAGTTATAAAAATACAGATTACACTTCTTTTTTCTTTTTTTTTTTATTAGATTTCTGGAAAAGCTTGCTAGGATGAAAAAATTATTAAATAAAAAAAGGACCACGGACATGTATTAATTAACAGTAACATCTGCCAAAAATACAGTTGTAACTAACATCTATAATAAATAGAAATATTTTATCTGTGTAGCAATTTTTAATAACTAATGATGGTGCATAAAAAAATGAAAAATACTGTACTTTTATTGCATTCTTGTTTTTGTCTCATGGCCACTTGTAGGAAAACTGGATCTTCATTACCTGCATCTATTTCTCCTTTTTTTCTTTTACCCTTCAATTTAAAAAAAACATTATTTTCTCAAGTATTATGGGGCTAATAATGATGAGAAAAATAGGCTTACGTCCTCACAGAGGAATAAGCAAGAATAGAGGAAATACCAAAGATCTAAAGTATCTTTTTGCGCAAGCACCATATAATACAAATTCAGGGAAAAAAAAGAAATTTATAATTTTAAAGTTTTCATTGCACCTACTAATAATAGTGCTGGCAGTTTTTTTCTCTGCTTTTCTTTTGTAAGACATCAGCTCTGACTGTGTGGACTGGATTTCTTTAAGTATACACCTGCTGGAGAAGCCAAACAAGATGGAATAGAGAGAGTCCTGATCGAATATTGTGAGCAAACCTTGTTGGCTGCAGATATCCTTCTCATTCTCATGCATTTCCTAGCCTATTCATCTAATTCTCTATTACTGTAGCATTAGCAGTTTACAAACAAGTGATAGCACGTGGCGATGAATCAGCTGAACATGAGTTCAGCAAAGACACTGGATCTGAGGCACTTGGGTCCAGTTTTGTCCACCTTTTGGAAATCAGGGACTGAGTCAAAGACATCTAAACAAAGAAATCTGTGATAAGACACAATTTGATCTGTTTAATAGTAGCTGTAGAAAAGAGGCTGCCTCCACAGTAAGTATTCCAAAGGAAGTTGGGATTCTTGAGAGCTGTTTATTCTAGCAACTGGAACATCCTATAAAAATTTCTTTAAAAAACCCTTCCGAAGTAGACAACTGGATGTTCACTTTCTTGAGTAAAATCTAACATGAGCAGCAGTGTGTTGAACATGGACCATTCTACTGAAAGCTGATATTTAAACAGTAACTGTGGCTAACTGGATTCTTTTTAGGAAAACTATGAAAAATTTGAAGAGTATTTTAAAATAAATTAATAACTTTTGATACTGCAACCCAACACGTGTTAAGTGATCCACGGTGAAGTCATAAAACAGGAACTCCTAGCTAACACATAACACCTGCAGCTGGATCTTGTTCTGTTAGTGGCACTACATCCATTCAACAACAAAAGACCTCTTCTTATGTTACCCTAATGTGGAAAAGATAAAATTCAGAGTGTCTTCTAAATAAGAACATTCTAGTGAGAATACACATCAGCACTTCAGAAAGGCAGTAAGGCTGCCTAAGTCATCTCTTAGTATTTGTAAAATTCACTAGATATATTAAGCATTAAGATTTATCAAACTTTACATATGAACACCATTCTCCATTTTGTGTTCATGTGGATAAACTGACTTGCAAGGTTTTTGTCATGAGGATATAGACAGGAGCGTACGTGTGTGTAAACAGTGTTTCCCTCAACCTTGACAATGACACATCACTGTGAAGACATATATTCTGAAAATGAAGATGCAATAACATTTTTAAGTGGAAAAGCAATTGTTATGTATAAGGGATATTTCTGAACATGATATTCAATGCAACTTTATATTTCCCATGTGCAGAGCATGAGGAATATACACTCTCTGCCTCCAGAGATGTGTCCGGGCATCCTACTACTAGTAACATTCAATTTTTTCAAACATTTCAATTTCAGAATAGATTCAACCTTTTCAGGCACTCAAGCCCAAATCCTCACTTGGATACCTAGTTCTCTTTGATCTCTGGACATTTTAGCTTCAGAATTAACCTCTTGAGAATTTAAAGATTTATACAATTCAATTAATCAATCTTAGTTTGGAGTAACTATCAGACACAGCTATTAAGAATTTCAGCAGTCTTGTTTTGCCCTTTTTGCCATGTGCTGTTAACAATGGGATGGATATTCTGTTATTCAAAATTTGTAATGTTAACAAAAATCCTCATGGAAAGTTTATAACTGAAGTGTGTAATTGTAATTAGCATTAGCAATTAAGCACTATCCATCATTTGTACGAGCACATTCTGACCAACAATTGCATTAAAGTGGATTAAGTCACTGTGAGATGCTATAACAAAAAGGTAAACTACATCATGAGAGTGTTGTAATTTGAGACAAATTAAAGCCAGCAGCTGTGGCTACGGCCAGGGAGACAAGGCTCTCGCTACGTAAATACCTAACAGATCTGCACTGAACAGGTTCTAAGAAGCAGTCAAAAGCTGAAATTTAAGAAAAGCAGCACTACCTAGTTTACACACACAACATGATCATTTTGTTTCCATATGACAGGAACCCATTTGCTTTTTGCTGAAATAATCCACGGAGCTTTGCTTACAGGGGTCTCCAAAAGAGCCCGTTCCTGTTTTGGCGCTACAAAGAGCACACGGTGACTGAGAAGTTGTATTTTCACTTGTGAGAGGAAAAAAGCGACTTCGGGAAAAAGCCACCGGCAGAGATCCCCATCCCATCCCATCCCTCCGGCCCCGGTTAGGCCCGGA